TGTGTGGCGCATATGTCACTTGTCTAAATAGCAGCGGCGTTCACCTGTACCAGGACTAGGGCGAGTAGCCGTGGCCACTGGCGAACGTCTGGCCATGCATGCAAATGCAACATTTGCAACTGTTTGTGCGGCCATGTTGTTATCTTCCTCCTACTTTTCTTCTTTTTTTTTTATTTAATGCTCTGCACAACAAGGTGGCAACACTGACACCAGCGACAACAACAACAAGAACAAGAATAACAACACGAACCGGCAGTAATTTGGCCACCTTTTGCGCTATGTTTGTTTTGGGCAGCGAGCAGCGAGACGCGAGTGTCAGCCAGCTGCAGCGTGAACGTGGCCCTGAGGCTTAGGGTCTATGTTTTAGCCGTACTATCAAATTCAACTGACTGAAATCTGTAAACAGGCAGCGACTGAGCAGCGTGTTGAAGTGTTTTAAGCGCATGAATATTGAAATAGCCAACGACTGAGATTAAAGCCTGTTATGCAAAAGAGGAGATTTTATTTATAGGGCAAGAAATTTTTCAATTTGTCTAGCTACTTCTATAAAACTTCATATTCATATTAATTTTGTCATATATTTTAAAGTGGGTTCTTGACACTTTATTGACCGTTTTTCTGTGAATATTATTCATACGCACTGTGAACATATGCCGAATTCAAAGTTTAATAAATAATATATATATAAATAATCGAAATGTATAGTTGACTTAAAAATGGTTATAAAAGAAGTAATTTTTCAATATAAAAAACTTCATTTTAGCACATTTTTATACTTTAGCTTGAGTTTATTTTGAATTACGCATACGCACTGTTTAACGTTACGTTAAGACTGCACTTAAACATTGCACGTAATAAGATATGAATGAGTTAAAGTTAAATGTGTTCGAAGATAATTAATTCTAAGTACATTGTAGAATCTTTTAAGCTTTTAAGCTAATAAATACAATAGCCGCTTTAACTTACCTTAAGATTCATTGGAAAACTGAGAGCTGTGCTTATCACAATTTTGTATATTTATAACAATTGTTGCTGCCTTGAATCGCTCACTAATTTTACAGATTATCCACATGTGTGCAGAGAACACATTTGTATATAAATGAATCAATATTGATTAAATCAGAGATTTCTTACAAATTCCTCAGGCTTAGCTATCAATATTGTGGAATATGTTCGTATATTTCACATTTATTTTTTGCAACATCTAAATCTCCTTCTTATTTGTCGATTATTCATACGTACTGTGCACGCATCGGGGTGAGTGCATTTAGAAGTTGTACATTTCTATAAATAGTACGTTAGTATAATTCATATATGAAGGCAACTGATAGCAAAGTATTTGCTACGCCCTGCCATTTGGAGGGCCGCAGTTACCCTTTTTGCTTTTGCCTTTTGCTCACTCACACGAAATTCAAACAAATGGCAAAGTTAAATTTGAAAATAATAGAAAAACTTTTTACAGTTGCTCTGCCAAACAGCACAAGCAACAACTATAACAACAATAACTAACGTAACAATAACAATAATGCAACTAAAATGAAACTATTTCGAGTGAAATAAATCTGTTAGAATGTGCAAAACTCCGCCAGCGCATTGCGGCGGGCATTTTCGGGTCGCTCCAACTGGTTGTGTATATATATACACATATATAAATACATATATATATGTATAGATGGAAATGGGAAATCGAGTAGTGTTTTTGCAAAGGGGTGGGTGCCATGGTTTGTGGAATCAGTTTTATTGCCAAACGTGTTTGTTGCTCAATTTAACTAAAAGTGCCAGGCATCGGCTGTCTGTCGACAAAAATATATATCGAACCAAGCAGTATAGAGCAGTTGTACGACTGCCAAATACCCTATATAAATGAGAATGAAGCATGGTGTGAAGCTTGAATTATGTTGAATAGTTGTTTATATATTTACTTAAAAGTAATAAATAAGACACAAAATATATTTGAAATATTAAAAAAAATAGAAATAATAAATAATTGAAAATCTTTTTTATATGCAAAAAATTTAAATAAAAAGAAATTTCCAATACTAAAAAAATATATATATGAAAGTATTTTATTTTATAAATATTTAGGTATGCCTTAAAATTCTATTTTAAATAGAAAATATTTTTTTAAACATATTTAAGTATATGCTTACATTTCAAATTAAAATATTAATAAAAAATTTTAAAAGTTTCTCAAATAGATATTTAACTTCTTAAATGTGATTAGAAAATATTTAATATAGAAAATATTAAGAATAAAACATATAGAAATATATATTCTTATAGCATACATATATCCCTGTATATATCAAAAAAGCGCATTTCATTTATATATTTAAAAGCTTTGTTAAAATAATATATGTGATCAGCGAATACAACTCTCTAAATAGATTACTGCTAAACAAATGGAAAACTATTTGGTTATTGAACTGGTTGTCATTTTAACGAAGCGCCACGATATTTATCATGAAATGTATATGTACGTGTATAAACACACAGAGAACTATGTGTTTTTATTCTTAATTTTATTTCCATTTCCATTATTTTTCTATAGTTTTGCATTAGTCACTTTTCGGTCTCGTTTTATTCATTTTCAAGTTGGACAGAATATTTTTTATTTTTTTTTATTTTGCGGTTTGTGATTTGAAATCGATGCATAAATCATGAATGGGGCATCATTGTCGGTTAGCTGCCTGTTGTTGGTAGATTTGCGTTTTTTTCTCTTTAGTTTTTTGCGTTCTGTATTTCCGTGCGTCGCTGTAAACATGCGCTCGATGGCTAACAGAAATATTGGCGCTATGAATATGCATGCGGCGACAAGTTGAACAAAGAAACAAACAGCCAAATGTCAACAATCAGCGTGCGGGCCACCAAAAGATCGCCAACTTTTTGGCCTAGAAAAAATGTGATAGCAGGAGACAGAGTGGGAGGGCGACTCAGAGGTGGGGAAGTTACATTTGCCATGGCCAATTGCCTCGCAGGTGACGTGCTACTTGACAATTGCTACGTTTTCGATTTGCCGAAAAGTGGCAACGAGAAGGAACAGCAACAACAACCACAGCAGCAACAGTGGCAAAGGCACTGGCAACAAGGTCTGACATCAGAAGGTGCCGGCACGCCCATTTCGACCGTGTGCTCAGTTCAACGCCCCCGCAGCGAGCGTCGACGTTTACGTGACTTGTTTCATAAACAAACAGCAGGCAAAACTGCACGGAAATTGCCAGCATAGTCGTAGTAGGTGGCGAACGTACAGACAGTAAGCAATGGAACGGACAGATACAGGACACATTGACAATGGCACAGCAAGGCACACAGGTGTCCCCATTATCTGTTCGTGTGTGTACACTGAGAGAAAGGCGGCTGAAGCGTGTGCCTAAGAATTGAAGGAGGTAAACTAAGTGAGTAGAAATTAAAAACTACTATATATAATAGAAAGAAGCAAAGGAGAACGGAACAAGAGAGAGAGAGAGAGAGAGACTAAGAATAAAGTATGACAACAGTGGAGGAAGAGAAGGCAGAAATGTAAGGAAAAAAATAATAAAATATCAAAAAAAAAAAACAGAAAAAAATAACAAGCAGAAATAGATATAGATAAGGGCTGAGTGCGAGAAACGACAGAGAGGAAAGGTGAAAGAGGAGTAATAAGAAAGAGAGAGAAAGAGTGAGAGAATGACACAAAAATAAAGAGATAGTGAGTGGGATAGACGAAGAGAGATGAAACGAAAATGAGAGATAAAGACAGACTCTGAATGACAGCACGACAAACAGAAAGAGACATATGTATATTAAGAGAGAGAGCGAAAGAGAGTGGGAGAATTATAATGAGAAAATGCATAAGTAATAGAAAAAATGGAGAAAAATTATACAGTAAGAAAGAGAGAGAGAGAAAGAAAGAATGTGGTAAAGAGTAAGAGAGAAAAGGGGAGAATGAGAGAGATAAGAAAGGTTAAAGTCAAGAGAGAATGAGAGAATGAAGAACTACAGACATATTTTTATTAAGGGAGAGAGAGAAAATAAGACAGGCAGAAAGCATAGGAGATAGAGAGCGAGGTAGAGTTAGAGAATTGGAATATTAAACCAAGCTTAATCCTAGTTCCTATGTCATATGCTGGATACTAAGTTGTTAACTTACTCTCAGCACTTTCTAACACAAAAACAAAATACAACTTCACAGGAAAATCAATTTAAGCCTAATTTAAACAGACAAGATAAATTATTGATAAATTAAATGATAAAAATGATCATTTATAAACAATATTTTTATAATTGTTTCTCTGACACCTTTTGCATCTATAGCCCACACAGAACTCTTACCCTTTTTGGCAGAGTGCATGTGAGTGCGTGCGTGGCTGTGTGCCTGACATTGAGCAAAGCTGCTTGCTCGACAATTTGCACTTTTGCATTCAAGTTGGTAATTGTTTCCGCCCAAATAGTGCAGCTGGGCTCACATGGCTGCGAGTGGGCGCAATTATGACCGCGAGCCCCATTTTAATCATTCAAAAGTCAGCGAAACCGTCAGCCGTAAGGGCAGCTGCGTCCACGTTTGGGTCTGTCATATGCTGTGCTGTTGTCGTCTAACCAAGTTGCGCAACAATTCAACGTACATTGCTTTCAGCTCTAAATGAGACATGAAGACACGAAACTTTTCTCATTACGCACACGCACACACACAGGCACAGAGCTTAAGCCACTTATGGACGCCCAAAAACAAAAGTGCCAGCACCCAAGTTAAGAGAGATACAATCGAGGAGGAGGTTGTGGAAGTGCAGTCAGCCTGAGGGCAAAGTCAGCGATGCGGGCAACTACCATGCCATAGCTGCACACAGGTGAGCGAGAAGCCAAGTTTCTGGGTGCAAGCAAATTTTCGCGTCAAGGCAAAACTTTCAATGCATATTCAACATCATTAGGAAAGTCAAGACAAAGTAGCTCGCCCTGGCTGCTGCTGCTGCTGAAATGTCGGCTAAGACACAAGACTTTCGCGAATAAGGGACAAGACGTGGTGGCAGGTGGACAGGCATGTCATTTAGGCTTTTATTCTCTTAAATATATTGAGACAATGCTTTAATAAGTTTAACTATCCAAGAAAATGGAACACAAATAACACTACATGATTTCGCAGGCACAGCAGCGACCAGTCGGTGCTGTATCAGAGCCGGGCTCGAGTTCGAATTGGCAATGGATCTTGGATCGCTTCTTTAGTGATAGCTTCTTCTGCTGCGGTTGCTGTTGCTGTTTCCGGTCGCCCACAGATTCGATGATAGTCGACAGCGGCTGCGAGCCTAACTGCAGCTGCGCCCCCGCTTGGGCCTGGGCCTGTGCCTGGGCCTGAATGCAGCTCTCGCTCCAGATGCCATCATAGCGCGGTCCATACGATATATCCTCTCCAGCAGCATTGCTCCAGCGTGTATAGTTGACCACTGGAAGTCGATTAGCTAAAGCAGTTGAACAAAGTAAATGAGTTACTAAAACAATCTCTGCTACCTACATTCCTCGACTATTTTGGTGGCCAGCAAGCCATTTCTTACGCCGGGCACAAAATCTGGTGCCTCCGGGTTGAGGCGTTTGTCCAAAGTGCGGGTGCCACTGGGCAGGACGCAGGCATCGTCCTCCTCTGAGTGGATACCCTCTGGGTCAGAGCGTTCATCCACATCGGTGGTTGTTCCTACATCAATACCTTCACTATCGTTGCGCATTCTTCCTAAATTCGTATTCCTTGCAGCTCTGCAAAAATATATATATATAACAATTCTACAATTTAGACTCACACTGACAATATGAAAATATATACATGTGTGTCAAGGATGGAGATCCTTGATGGGGTACTCCTTGTTGTTGTCACAAGCTGCTCGCACTTCCCTTGTTGATTTTTCGAAAAGCTTTAAGTTCCCTACGTTTGGGAGCTTAATAAAAAAAAATTATTAAATTTCGTTTCACATTTGAATTAAATATTTCTTGACAGCTTAATTTCTGATCAAAATCTCAACGCTATATCGAAATTGGAAAAAAAAAATTGTTCAATTTTCTATTGTTTATGCAGCTTTTATTTATAGTTTTATTTTATTGTTATTTTTTGTTGTTGTGCTGCATAATGCCGCTACAAATGCCTGCCACTTGCAGGTGCACGGAAATTGCAGAGCGTTGCAAATTATATTTCATATACATTTTCCGATATCGTGTTCATTGACTGACGCTGGCCAGCATTGTTGGAAGCTGCACTAAATAATAATCTTTTGTGAACCCTTTTTTGAGTGTTGTTAGGGAAAAAAGCAAATAAATATTCTGCTATAAGAATAAGCATATAGAAAAAAAACACAATGCAGCTGGTTTTTAATGCTATTGTGCTATTTGCGACGGCCACGCCCACTAATGTAAACGGCAACTATCGCACACTGCATGTATTGCATGTAAAACCGAAAGCCGTTGCCCAACACTGAACCAAAAAAAAACAAAGTCCTGCAACGGGACTTGCCAAATATTTTGCCGAGCGAAACAAATCCATTTCAATAGCAATGCTGAGCGCGGGGCAGACGGCGGGGGTGTAACCAAAAGCCCGCTTCAAATCAATATGAATCGCTGCGAATGCGAGCTGGCACAGTTTGAGCATTAGTGGATTAGAGAGTGCAGCGAACTCACAAAAGCCCTGAGACCCAATGCGAAACCGCACAAGCAACAGCAACAAACAACAAAAACATCGTAAATAAATCAATGTAAACAATCGAAACAGTTGTCGGTAAATTGAAATTTGAAATGCAATGCTGCAGCCTCCGTCTGTCCCTGAAATCTTTAGCTCTTTCGAGCATAACAGACAGCGATGACATTTGAAAGGAGCCGAAGAAGAAGAAGCAGAGCAAAAAACACATTGTAGCGAAGCACATTAAGCGTTAATTGACAAAATGCCTCGACCTAGGCTCAAGTATGCGTTACACAGCACTGGCAGCTGCCAAATGATGCCCTGACCAAGTCTCGACAAAAAGTCCAGCAATAAAAATAGCTGACTGAGTGTGTGTAAAAGGCATACAGAGCAGCCAGGTTGCAAGTTGTACAGTGGGCGTGATCGGCATTTGTGTAGTCAAAAGTATTCTAGATGTCAGCTAAGCTTTTAGGTTTATCTGTCTATATTTTATCTAGATCTAGATAGTCTATATACATTTTTATTCAACTATATATGTATATCTCATCTCCCAGCATATTCATTCCTTTTTTGCCCATTGTTTTGGCCATTCTCATCAACGCTTTGTTCACAAATTTTTGGTATAAAGTCAGAGATTGTCTTGGCTGTGGGTGCGGCATCGTGTGACACGTGTCATGTGGCACTGCACTAACTGCTGGACAAGGCAGACAGTAGAAGAAGTAGCAGATGAAGAAGTAGACTCAAGCAAATGCCAACGCATGAGAGCTGAGAGCAAAATGAACTGGCAACTGGAAACAAAAGCGTTGGCAACGGCACAACTCGAGCTCGGTCCGACTGTCGACTGTCGACTGTCCGACTTTTCAAGTTTCAGTTAACAACAGGCAAATGAAGAGGCGCTGCAGCATGGGACAGGGCAAGTGGCATGTCCAAATGGCATGTAAACGCTGTCCGGTCGCTGCCGGCTGCCATTTCACACCGCGCAGATCTTATGTACTGTGAAATCTTCAATGCGCCGCCACGTTCAAAAAACTTGCGCAATAAAATAAAGTAATTAAAAACCGCAATTTCCAGAAACACAAAACGGCCCAGGAGAATTGGCTAATCTGCAGCGTTTTTATTGAGGAAATACAAGTAGGTAAATGCCAACGCAGGTGACCCCGCCCTGCCCGCACAGAGAGTGAACATTTTTATGATGGAATTACAAATTTTAATGTTTGCTTGTTTGTAATTAAATTTGCCTCTTTGTGTTTATAGTGACTTTTGTTGCTGTTTTATGTGTGACTTTTATGGGCGTGACACGTGAGCTATTTTTATGACATTGAAACGGAAGCAGTTGCCATTGTTGTCCCTTTAAACTTTTTAATCACGCAAATGCGACCAGCGACTAGTGAAAATTGTAATTAAAATAAATTGCCGTCAAATTGGCTGCATTGTTGCCAGCCACTATAAATGTGGCCATAATGTCAGCTGGCCGTTGCTCAAATTAAATGTAATTGCCATTGATTGCAGCTTAGGCAAATTTCCGCATCTATAAGCAACAATCGATATGTGGCTCACTGCGGCAACAGCAGCTTTGTCAGCCGCCAAAACTATGCGCAAAGTCAACATTTGGATTGGTGTCTGGTTGCCACGCTTCCTGGCTGAGCTGTTGAGCCAGTGTGAAAGGAAAATAGCTCAGAGCTTTGACACAGTCAAACACTTTGCAACACTGGCCACTGCCACACAAACTTGAGCACAACACTGGCTGCGACCTAAGAGTAAACAGCTCAACTGTCCCAAGTGACTAAAAACTTTTTCCAACAATAAGTTTCAAATCATCGCCGCCATGTTATATTGCTCTCTCCCTCTCTGTCTCTCTCGCTTTCGCTTGTCATCCATCAGTGTATGGAAAGATTCCAAACATTTCAAATATACACAAAGTATTGACTCGCTGGATTCAACTACAGCCGTGGCTACATGTCAATTTGTTGCGTATACGCCACTTGGGACAGCCAGCGGCCGGCGTCTAGTGGCCGCCAAATGGTAGCCAACGCATTTGCAATTGCTTTTCGCTGCGAGTACTCTGCATAACTATGAAATGCACGGCAGTCCACTGCAATTTCCGGCCAAACAGAACGCACTCGTTGCCGTTGTGCGCGTGTTTTTGGTCCACCCCAACGCTGCCAATGGTTTGATCTTTTCAAATATTTACAGCTGACAAGTCAATGACACAATAGTTTGCAGCTAACTTAATGAGCTTTAAGCTTTAAGTTTTAAGCTTTTGAATTTGATTTAAATTCGTGTTGAGCGTTGAGCAACTGAGTGAAAGCCTTGCAACTCAGACAGGTCTTGATTATTTAAGGCTTCCGCGAAAACTTATGCACCTTAAATTCATCCATTGACTCTTTCAATTTAACACTCTCTAAACTATCAATCTACAAATGTAAGCACAATAAATTATATATAAAAACTATTTAAATATTTACTTTTTTCTTCAGGCCAGGACTCAATCGAGGCTTGCGCTCTGGGGCTCTGACACATGCCAATTATGGATATGTATTTTTTATGATGTTTAACGTTTTCGCTTGGCTTTCATTCGACCTTTGGCTGGACGATTTGGGGTGCTTCGGTAATTTGTCCTTGGCAGCGTTGATAAATCATTTAAAAGTAAGTCATGTCATTTCCGTTTTATTTGGTCAGAGGGAAATTTGCGCAGTAGCAGTAGCAGGAGCAGGAGCGAAAACAATAAGCAAATGTAAATCAACAGAATGAAAAAGGCATTCAAATTGTCAGGCGGGGCGTTAAGAAAAAGCACCGAGATTATTAAATCCCTACATGACAATCGACAGCAGCAACAGCGAGTCGAGCAGCAGCAGCAGCGGCGGTCCTTCAGCCACAGCGTTGACAGCATTGTCAGCGTTGTCAGCCTCAGTATTCGCATTCGCCAGCAGCTCAACTTATTGTCCTGGATGCCACGACAAGTACACGGCCGGCACAGTCAATAATGCCAAAGTGGCACCAGTGAAAGTTCCCCTCAGCAAGCGAGACGAGCGAAACGAGTGAGACGTGCGACTGTCATATGTGTTCAGCTGCAATTATGCTTTCTTTTTTTTGCTTTCCACCTTTTTCCACCTTTTAAATTAAAGGCAATTATCCTGCTGTACATTTTTCAGAATGCACTGACAGCTGCCAATTGCCACAGACAATTTGCCTGATAGCTGCTAACAGCCCAAAGGTGGCCTTTATTAATTTTCTAATTGCTACATAAAAACTATCTTAATGGCAACTCTTAAGGGGGTTGGTAAAGGAAAAGGTATGACTATGAACAAAGATATTATTAGAATTAAGGTTATACATAAATAAAGTTGATGTATATCAATTAGCTAGAAGTATTATTTTAGTATTATTTTTATTTTATTTTATTTTCTTATTAATAGTATTATAAATATATTTATTTAATATTATTATATATAACAATTTGTATATTATTTTGCTTTTTTTTTTAATTTGTATGCTACTTATATGAATAGAGATTATCCAATCATTTATTTTGATTAATTTTAGTTTATTATATTTAATACTTATTACTTAAATTTAATTTATTTTAAGATTATTTCCCTGCATTTTTTTCTTGTATATAAAAAATATATGTTTTAATCTTTTATTTTATTTTTTATTAATATTTTAAAATGTAGTTATAAGTATCATACGTTTATATTTATCTTTGACTATCATTTTATTTTTCCAATAAATATTTTCAAATTAACATTTTTTATTTTATTTTTGATTAAATTAAAATTTATGGAAATTAATTATTTATAATTTATAATATTTTAATATAAACAAGTTTTTTATAAGTTTTCAAATGAAATTTATTTTTGTTAAGTTTTGCCCAAATTCATTGATCATAGCCCAAAGCCTCTTTAATCTTCAACATTTGTTAACAGCATAAATGTTGCCCTACAGATAGTAGATTTCATGGAAAGTTTTAATCAAACTGAACTTTATCTTTCCACCTATGAACGAACTGTATTCAGAGCTTGTGCTCGATGCATTTTGTGCAAATAAAAGGATAGTTACTTTAAATGAAATGCTAATAACATTTCTATGCCTCAAAATTGAAGTTATTTCTCTTTCTGTCTTTCCCTCTATCTCTGTCTCTGTTTCTCTAGTGGCCAACTTTTTGATTTCTTTGAAAGCATCGGTAGAAACTTCGGTTTGAGTTGCTTGCAAAGAAGTTTTGCTTCGATAGAGGCTCGCGTCTCGCAAGCGCTTTTCGCTTTTCACTTTTCACTTTTTACATTTTGTTTGGGCTCAACTTTCAATGTGTTGACTCAAGCGCCGCAATTTAATTTGCCCTGCA